ACAACAGGTGTAACCATTTGTAAGCCCAGCCCAATTCAAACTAATGAAACCCACCAGAGTAAGCCCAACCCAAAATAAAAACTTGGGTGCCGTTGGGCCCAAACCCAAATTCCACAACAGGTGCTCTCCCTCTTAAAAACTTGGGTGCCCTTGGGCCCAAACCCAAATTCCAAACTTGGGCTATATAAACTCTAATTGGTTTTACTTTATTTTCAATGTGGGGTAACCACTTCCCAGATTTTGCACACCCATTTAAACTTATCAAACACCTTACTTTGGAGCTAATTTCTTATTCACCTGGAAATAGATTTGAGAAAGTAAATATACCACGTTCATCTCTTTATGGAAAGGAACGCATTTGACTATAGATCCGCAAAAAATTCTTAGCGGAACCTACTCAAAATTTCGCCCAAAATTTATGTTTTTTATTCTCAGTTTCCAACAAAATCCACCTCTGTATTGTACATTACTAGATGAATAAATCACCAAATAAAAGAAATAGCCACGAAGAGTTGGTTTATTTTTAAGTTTGGCTTTCGTTTTTCTAACATTGGTTTTGATAGACTTTCTTGTGGTTTAACGAATCAAGATCCTTTTTGAATAATATTAGGTCTATGGTATATTTAAATCGACAATGCGATAATTTTAAATCAATAACACAACAACTAGGTTGATTTAATAGTTATTGTAAAATAATAGAATATGTTACATGGGTGTTGCATCTTCAATTTCATGCGTGTTACATCATTATTCCCACTAATATGTTACATGGGTGTTGCATCCGTGATATAATGTGTTTCATATGTCATTACTGATTTAAAATGCATGGCATTGGAAATAAAATGGTAGTGGAGAGGAACCAAGTCCATAATTTGACATGATCTCATAATTTTAAGAGAAACCTTGGTGGTATCAACTATATATTACCAACAAGTGGTGGAAACCTTGCCTACTGTAATTCGCCCACCACCGGAACCACCAGATTAATTACCAGCGATGCACTAGAGGTGGAAATTCATCATGTTGTTACCGGATCTATTGGAGCCATTGACGGTTTCCTTTTCTGTTGCTCCTTTGGGCTGGGCTCTCTTGGTCCTGCTATGTTACATTTTTCTTTGTCAGACTTACTTCAAGCCTAGGCTTACTATTCATGTAATATTACTATGGGCTGTACATGCTTCCTTTATATATATAATTTGAATTCACTTTTCCAAAAAAAAAAAAAAAACACACAAGTGGCACTTACTATTGGATGGGGATATATTATTATTGGTACCAAAATGCCCAATTAATAAACTATAAGAATTGAAAATTTATTATTTTTTCTTAAAGTGTAGGATCACTTATTTCCCACTTGAACCCTCGACCTTCTTTTTTAAAAAAATATCACTAAATTATAGTCATTATTGGTGAGGTCAGTCTAATTCTTTAATATCGTGCTAAATTCTCTGAAATATCATAAGTTTTTTCATGAGACTGATTAGTTGAATATAATCTTGTTCTTAGTCCTTGATTGAAATGACAAACTTGATTGATATAACAGGTGGTTGTAACCATGTTAATATCTTGTTTACATATTTACATTTAATGTTTAGAACGAATAACCTCTTTTAATTTGTAAGCAATCCTCTGCTGTATACAACACAATTCAACATTATTTTATTTCCTAGTTTTACTATCTACCTCGAGCTTCAAGTATGTGTTGACTGGCGATTAACCTGTGTCAAGTGCGTGACAAAACCATATTCCACAACAGAGGATCTCGACTCCTTAAAAACACGGACATGAAAAATAGATGTTTAAAAGAAGAACTAGGAATTGATTTTCAATTAATCAATCAATCTACGTTAAGGACATGATCAAATGCAAATAACATCTTGTGATCTATAACAAATTCAAAGTGAAATTGTGTAACCACTTGTTTTATTACTGATTTCATCATAGGTTGACAGTGCCCTTTATTCCATAGCAGCAAAAGAACTATATACATATATATCATCTTACATATATTCTCACTTCTGCTTCTCGCAGGTTGTATCTAAACAACGGCAGCTGCATTGGTGATTCCGACAGACAACAGGACCTTCTGAACAAACGAAAGGAGCATGGAGGCAGTCCTTGTCTTTGGTACATTTTAGGGGTTTTCCTTCAACTCCTGCCAACCATTTTTCATTAGTACGTTACCTTCATGTACTGTACATGAATTTAGATTACTGTAATACCTACTCACGTAATAGATGTGTGTGTGTGTGTATAAAGAGAGAGAGAGACTAACCAGATGCAGTGAGCAAGAGGATGACCAAGAAAACGATCTTGAGAGAAGCCTTCTCCACGTGTTTAGTTAGGTTGGGTGGTAGGCAAAAACAAGAAAGTAAATGGTTTTTCTTTGTAGTGTAAATAGTTGAGCTCCAAAGGGGTTGTATGTATAGGAGAGGAAATGACTGATGTTGATATTTCGGAAATTATTTAATGAAAAATTAATGAGTTATATGCCACAAAAAGAATGAAAAAAAAGAGGGTATAAGTTGAATAAATTATTTGGCTATTTATTTATTAATAGTAAAGTGGATGACAAGTGGGGTTGAGAACAATTAAAAAAAAAATGGACATTTTATCATTGTAACCGGTGGTGAGGTGGATAATTGTAACAAGGGTCATTTGTCCCACATCGGAATCGGATGGAAAAGTGATTGGGTATAAATGGGTGGGTATGCAGCAATACTTAATAGTTCGAGCTTTTGGGTAAATGGCAAGCGCCCACCCATTTTAGTTAGTATAAAAGTAAGACCCAATCCTTAATCCGATGTCACGCCAAGCACCCGATACGGAAGGCGTCCTGACTAGCACCCCGGGTAAGTAGGGTGGCCCGAACCGCAACGAGGGCGTTGCGACTTTGAGTGGGGGAGAAGCGCCCACCCATTTCAATAATCCTAGTGAGTAGGCAAGTAATATTCTAAATTATTGAAAAGTCATTTATACGGAAGGAACAACTTTACTCTATTATTGCATTAATTTAATAATTTCTTTCTTATCCCCACTTTCCAAAATTAGGAAAATGATATATGATTGAGAGGAAAATTAAACAAAAATTTATTGATATTTTAAATTCAAAATTAACATTTTATAATTATACCAAATTCATGGTAAGGAGGAAAATTATAGTGAGTTAGCAGGCAACTATTATTCTAAATTACCTTCATTCCAATCCAGCATACCAAACACAGTCTTAGAGTAATTATTAAAAAGTAATTTATATACCCTGCAAGTATTATTCTAAATTATCTTCATCACAAACGTAATTACACAAATATTGCAAAATTAGAAACAAAACATTATTAAATCCGAAGTATCCCTCAATCAGTAAATCTCTTTTTTAACTCATACAGAGTTGATCAAAACTTTTATTATTAAAACAAAGCAATTATGTCTCTAAAAACCTTTTTTTCTTTCTTTAAGTTGGTTAAAAGCGGTCTTCAACTCTATCAATACATTAAAGTTCCAAATTTGTCACTATTAGAGTCATGTAAAAGAGACTAACACTAAACATGGAAAAGGCTTCGCTCAAAATAATTTTCTTGGTCATGTTCTTGGTCACGCCATTGGGTTAGTCTCACTCTCACTCTATCCAATATGTTCTGCACAATTGCATCTTAGCAAGCTTTGTCTTTAGATTTATGTGGGTCTCACGTGATCCAACGATTGAGTCAGTGCAATTACAACAACACTTACATTGCATTTGAGAGCAGCATATTGATGCCATGAATTAAATTTTTTCCGATTTCAAATTCAAAAAACTCATTTAATCATTTTCTCTCTTTCTATATTTCTACGCCACGTGTCTAAGCGAAAGGATCCTTTCCTTGAGAATTTCTCAACTTGACTCTCGAGAGTTAAATCCAATGGTCCAGATTCATTCAACTTATCCACTTATTAAACTACCTTAACACTGGTCTTTTTAATTAGTAGTGTTCAACTTCTCCTTAGTGATCGAAAAAGTCTACAATACTCTAAAGGTACTGTACCCCTAACGACATTAATTGATTAACATTTATTTTCTTATTAATTTTTTTTTTTTTTTTTTTTTTTTAATCATGAAAACGATATCATTTATCATTTCAAATGCACAAAGGCCAAGCCAACGACAGTAAAGAGACAAAAAGCCAAGCCAAAAAAGGTATACAAATCATGAAGCAAAGCAATAAAATGAAGAACAAACTCTAGATCTGTATACAAATCATGAAGCAAAGTAATAAAATGAAAAACATGCTCCAGATCTATAGAGAAAATAGAGCCTAAAACTCTATAACGGACCCACAATGAGAGAAACGCAACAAACTGGAGTGACCCAAAGGTCAGACTATCGTCAATGCAACAGCTCCAAAGATAAAGTCACAAGGCTCTCTGATACCTAAGAAACCCCGTACAAGATCAAATTAAGGAGAAAAAGATCAAATTTAGGCGGGAGAAAATCAAAACCAACCTAGACTAGAGATCTAGTCAGAGAAAATAACAAATCCACCCATGTAATCCGAAAACAAACCCAACATGAACGGATCTAACCGAATAAAACAAAAAAAGCGTAAAAAAAACACCCACAGAGCGCAATTATTGAAACACGCCAAGTTTATTGCAGCCATAGGAGGCAGCCATCATTTCCCCACTCCCATGGAAGGGAGCAGGGAGGCTCAAAGTGAAGAAAACGAAGGGGGTTAGAGAGAGGTGAAGGAGGAAAACTCAAAAAAAAAAAAAAGAGAAATAGATTTACATTTGCTTAATATTTAGAATGTGACTTGACTTTTCTTATAACCAATTACCTCTTTTTAATTTATAAAGTCTTGAAAATGCATCATAATTTTAATATCCTTCCTTTAAGCTTGAAGCATGTGTTGACTAACGATTTAATTGTGTCGAGTGAGCTATAATACCATATTTATTACAGCATAGGATTTTGACTCATTAAAAACACCGGACATGAAATTTTAGTAATAGAGGATAAGGAAGAACTAGGAATTAAAGCCATGATCAAATACAATTAACATCATGAGATCTATAACAAAATATCAAAGTGAAATTTTGTAAAACCACCTGTTTTACTACTGATTAATTGATTTCATCATAGGTTTGACAGTAACCTTTATTCCATAGCAGCACAAGAACTATATATATATATATATATATATATATATATATATATATATATATCATCTTATAAATTCACTTCTTGTCCGGCCTCTTGCAGGTTGGCGACTTGTTTAGGGAGGGCAGACGCATAGATGATTCCAACAGATGGTAAAACCTGGGCAAATCGACATAATATGGCTGCAGTCCTCAGTTTTGTTACATTTAAAAAAAGAACCTCCTTGCAGGTTGGCGACTTGTTTAGGAGAAGGGCAGACGCAATGATGATTCACACATATGGTAGAACCTGGACAAATCAAAATAGCATGGCTGCAGTCCTCGGTTTTGTTACATCTTGAAAAAAAACCTCCTTCAACTCCTGCCAACCATTTTTCATTAGTTAACCTTTATTATGTAATGTATATGAATTTAGTTTAGTGTAATACCTACTCACATAATAGATGTGTTTGTGTGTGTTTATCTATATGTATAGAGAGAGAGAGGGACTAACCAGATGCAGTGAGCAAGAGGAAGACAAAGAAAACGATCTTGAGAGAAGCCTTCTCCATGTATTTAGGTTGGGTGGTAGCCAAAAACAGGGAATTAAAGTAATGGTTCTTCTTTGTTGTGTAAATAGTTGAGTTCCAAAGGGGTTGTATATATAGGAGAGGAAATGACTGATGTTGATATTTCTGAAATTATTTAATGAAAAACTAATGAGTTATGCTACCAAAGGAAAAAAATAAATAAATTTATAGTATAAGTTGATTAAATTATTTGTTATTTATTTAATAAGTATAGTCTGTATGAAAACTAGGTTCTGATGATAACATTTTACAAAATTTAAAATTATTTTCAAAATTATTAAAGCTAATAAGTGGACCTCCTAAATGAAGTAGTGAGACCCACTAGTGACTTTCACCGTCTAATGAGTGGACCTCCTAAATGAATTAGTGAGACCTATAAGTGATTTTCACCCACTAATTCACTAATTCATTCGTGTACGTGTGATTAGACCATATCATTCGGACAATGAAGAGTATTTATTATTATCAGTAATCAATTATGATTTATTTTTCTTTTTTATTATTTTAATTTTATAATTAAAAGATATGTATATTTATGATTGGACCTTCTATATATATATATATATATATAACATTAAATAAATAAGCCATTTATTTGCCACGTTCTACCTGCAGTTGGGCATGAGTGTAAACAACGTGTCTTTCTAATTGAAATAAAAGTGATTTAAAACACATTTACTTTCTTGTTTTTTATGGAAGGAACAATATTTGTCTAGAATTGCATTAATGCCATCCTATCCTCACTTTCAATATTGACGTCACCCTTCATGAAGTTATATATTATTAATTAGGATACAGTGAAAAACCCTTATCATATTCAGCATGTTGTCATATACAGCATGTGTAAATACCCTCCTTAGAAAACTCTTTATATTTTTTAAATTGAGAAACTAAAGACAAATTTTTAATTTGAAGACTAAAATACCTAAAATCCTTTTAAAAATAAATAATAATATAAAATTTTTAAAATAAATATAAAAAACAAAATAATAAATAAAATATAAAGATATAAAAATAAAATAATAATAAAATTAATGGCATTTTTTATAAATAAAAAAAATATATAGAAACTCTAAAAATTATTATTTTTAGTTTATTTATTTGTTTATTGTTTATATTTTTAATTTATTATTTTTTTAAAAAATAAATACCTAAAAACTCCTTAGTATTTTGAAATTTTTATAAATGAGGCAATTTCCTCCAAATTCTCAAAATAAAAGAATTTATATGCATTTTTTCAAAGAGAAGTGTGTTTCTTGCACATTTTTTATATAGCAAAGTTTTTTGAACTTTACACTGTTAATTATTACATAAAATTTGAATGTGTTTGTATGATTTAGAGCTCAACCTATAGTACAAACCAACAATTTCTTCGCCAAAAATGATGTTTTAACAATTTTGGAGGCCAGAGTTTAATGACTTCATGTTGACCTCACATGAATTTATTATTTAATTTTAATAAATTTTATAATCATGCTATTTAATCAACTTCTCTGTTGCTACCCTTTCATTATAACTTCACATGGTTATTTGTTTTATAATAAGTCTCTTTACATTTGCTTATAAAATAGGATATCTCCTTACGTCTTAAAGAAAATAAATAAATAAATAAATAATTATTCTAAATTATTTTCATTCGAATACAGCATATCAAACATCGCCTTAGAGTATTTATTGAAAGATCATTTATAAGGAATTGTCATTACCGCTAATGTAGACCAATAATAAATGAACCTAATTACCAAATTAGAGATATTGTATGTACAACACCAATTCTGCAAAAATTCAAAACCAATGAAGAACAATAGAGTAATGCACTAAATTAAGAGTATTTTTCCGTGTGGAAGAATCTAATACTAAATTTCTAATACTTTTATCCACAACTCCAAAATTTTATTTGATTGGCAGATTCAGTAAGTAAAAGGTAGAGAGTCAAAAATAAAAACTAAAAATAAAAAATTAATTTTCCTAATTTTTTATCCTGATTAAATAAAATAACTTAATATATAAAGAACACCGTAATAGAAAAAATCAGTTTCAGGTCATGTGGCAAATGTAATTCAGGTCCTCCCATATTAGTTGTCCACTTTTGATATTTTAACGTTTTAAGGGAACATACAATTAATGTATTATAATAAGTTAATGAAGAAGAGAGGAGGAGATCAAGAAAGTTTAATTAATGGCTCATAAAAGAAATTAGTAAATTCCTATAACAACTAAAATTACAAGTATGATTCAATTAAAGCGGGTTCGGATACCTTACTGCAACAGCATCACGTGCTTACCTTGCATATGACATTTTCAGCCTTCAAATTTTTCTCCAATTCCCTTTTACCAAATGCATCCCCTTCACTAACCAATAACAATTAACCACTATTAACACCTCATTTAGAGTAAATACAATTTGGAAAACAAAAGAAGACTGCTAACACAGCTACAGAAACTAGAAACCACTGCTAGATTCAGCTATTTGATCCTATCCTAAACAGTAACAGAGGACATTGTTTTACCACATTTCATTTCAATGGAGAAGTAAACAAAAGAAAGATAAGTCACAAACCCGAGGCAACAACAAACCATAAAGAAAGGGTGAAGTGCAAAAAACACCACTATAGCTTTAAAAGTGTGCAAATAACACTCCTCGTGTTCAAATCCTGCCCGTATAGCATATAAATTGAGCAAATAAAGACTTGTGACATCAAAAAGTGGCATGTGTGGTCATGTGATCAAAAAAGCCTATTTTATACCAACTTTACCCTTTTGAACTTCCCAAACTACCCCTCTATTCTCAATAAGAAAAAACCACTATGCCAAGTATTTGCACTGAAGAAGACTCCATATTTCTCAAGATTGACCCTTTGGGCATAAAGATGTTCATAATTCTGAAGGCTTGCAAAAGAGTCTATGTATATCCATCAATCAGTGATCGAATAAACATTCATTATCTAGGGATAAATTTATATATATATATATATCAAAAGTATTTGAATTGAACCAAAATAGAGAACACAAAAGTTACCAAACAGAGAATCCAAAAACTAAACAATTAGAAATCACATCAAAACACCAAAGCCCTAAAATTCCACACTCTTGCATTTGATTAAATGGACAATTTAGATCCAAGAATGAGACATTCATGACCTACCCATTATAACGATGGAACCAGTTGCACTTTTTCAGTTGAAAAATTAAGTTGTAGAGAGAGAAAGCTTGGGGGAGATAAAGGAGAGCTCAAGGGGTTTACGGAGTTATTATATAAGACAGATAATAAAATTTATTTATTTGAGTGTGTGTATATAAAAGATTGTAACGGTTGGGATTGGCTCTTCCCACAAAAGAATTTGAAGATGTTTTGTCTCGCAATGGGGTTAATAGGATTTGGTGTTGGGTTGATTGGATTTGTTGAGATAAGAAGATGAGGATGGAAAGCAGAACACGAACTCCTTCAATGATTCAGCACCTATTTTCTGTTTCATCTCTAACCCCAACCACCATTGACGCAATCTTTGGCTTTATTCTAATGCAAAAGATTGGTTTTGTGTATCACCGATCAAAAATAAATTACATCACATATATATATATATATATATATATATATATATGTCATAGCAATTGTAGACACCTGTATATCATAGAAATTGCCAATTTGATCGTTTAGGATGAAAAAGAAAAAGGGGAGAGAAACACCAATTGATCACTTTAGTTGATTTTGTTGCTATTGTTGTTGATGATGACAATGATGATGATGATGGGCGTGCTAGACCGTGGCGGTGGTTTGGTTTTTAGGATTTCAGAGGGTGCGTTGGGACTGGTGGTGGTTTGGATTTTAGGGTTTCAGAGGGTGTGTTGGGACGGTGGTGGTGTGGTGGTGGTGTTGATGGTGGTTTGGTTTTTAGGGTTTCAGAGGAGAAGGGTGGTGTTTTGCCAAGTGATGGTGATGGTCATGGGTGGTTAACTTGATAATACGATGTCGTTACAAATATGGCCTTTGAGGTAATTTCCACTTCTAGATATTTTTTATTATTTTTGTTATGAGAAATGTGGAGGGTATTTTAGTCTTTTGCGTATATGATATTATTTACCTGCCAAAAAGTACTTATTTGCTCAATTTACATACTAAGGAATAGGATTTGAACACGAGGCTGTTATTTGCTCACTTTTAAAACTACAAGTGTTTTTTGCACTTCACCCCAAAGATACTAATATATCTACAAGAAATAATACCTGAAATTTGGCTGCAGAAAAGCTGGGAAGCTGCAATGTTACCTACTGAACTTTATAACAAGAAAACCAATGAATATGCACAGGTTAACTGACCATGCTTGCAGAGAAAAGCTAGAAGCTTTGGCATCCTACTGAACTTCCTGCAAATAATAGCAACAGGTTGACAGGGAAGGATAGCACAGGTGAAAAAGATAATATGCCCTGGTCACCTGTGAGCCGAGAAAATAAAGTATTAAGTGTTAGAATATAGCTTGATATAATAAATTTGGCGAGGAAGAACCCTCTGTAATAAGAGAGAGGCTGCAATGGATTGAGATGAGAAGTTGTATGTGCATACCGATTTTTCAGGTGTTGGCATTCAAGAACTATGCCTGCCTGACGTTGAGAAGAATCTATCATAACAGCAAAACAAAGCTTGATACACAGTTATGAATCCAAATGCAGATTATTCAAAGCCCTTTCGTGGCAATACGAAACTCATCTGGGCAAGAATTTTAGCACTCTTCCTGGCAAAGAACAAGAGCCCTAGTAGAAAATAAGGAAATCTGGGCAAACGTAGATTCAACCTGACCTAGAATCCAGTAATAATATGTTCAGATACGACATTGAACCCAATTTCACAATTCCACTAGTATGCCTTGTATCTTCAAACTCTCAAATAATAAATGAACAATTTGAGCAATTCAATGCTATTATTTTCCATAAAACATGGTTTATATTCTTTAAGATAAAAACAGCAACTTCATTATGCTCAATGGATATAATTCAGGTGGTTTGGACAGCACATTTAGAACATGTCAACAAATGCACGCATGAATGTAGAAATCATCCACCAATTCACTTGCTCATTCCAACGATTTATCATTTGCATTATATTAACAAAATTCAAATGGCAACAGGCAGAATTTTACACATCAATAGTTTAATAAAAGGTAGAGGATACTTGAGTTAATTAATTCTCTGGGTGTAGCATATTCATCAACCATAGTTAATACACTAATCAAAAAAAAAAAATCAACCATAGTTAATACATATAGACAGTTTAAATCAATAAATGAAAAAACTACCCCTTTAGAGAAAATAAGGGTGCGGCATGGGTTTCAAGCTCTGCATACCATCTGGGGTCTTTGACTTTACAAGATTGGCTAGATATATCAAGTATATATTATACAAAAATAATCTAAGACTGAAAAGGTAACTTTAATGAATTCGGCACTACATACTATGTAAATAAGGATTTCCTGTTACTAAATGGTTAGGTTAAGCCCCTAGAAATCATTTTGCAGCATGTCAGCTAGGACTTCATTAGCCAGTCTGCGCGAACTCTGTTTGCCCCGTCTGTCAAGTGCCCTTACCCTTATTTTGGTCATTTCTGCCAGACCTATCACCTTCTTTCTTAGGAACTTCCCCGACTCTCTCCTGCAACAAACAACAAATTTATTGACCAAAAAAGTAAAAATGTTTCAGGAAGCATGTGCACCATCGAAAAAGCATTTCAGAAGTAATTTGTTATTCTAAAAAAACAGAAAGGAGTAGAAAACATTTATGTGTTTGGTTACTCATTTCTTTTCAATTATCAAAAAGGTATTCATAGTAAAAACAAAAGAAAAGAAAGAAAAATGCCACTTAGACTAGAACATCCTATCCACAACCAGCTATCTCACATTAATAAAATGCTTATTATTATAGTGAAATGTAAGTTTTTCAAGAAACATGAAGTTAGACTTCTATTTTGCAACAAGTAGGAGCAAATTGCACTATATCAATCAAAAGGTTCTTTCAGAAAACCCAACCAAATTAACTATGGTATTTGTTGTTATTTAGGGGAACGAAAGATGACTAGAAGCCCATGAAATAAAATAATTCCATAGGGTTCAAACTGATCAGTTTGTATATAACAGCTCCCGGAAAGACACTATTTGTAGCATGTATATGATTGTCACTATTGCCATTTACTTAAAACAATATATAAAAAAATGGAACTGTCCTGCTGGTGAAAAAAGAAACTTGCAAAAACCAAAATACAGACATCACCTTAAGAGACGCATTCTGAGCCAGAAGTTGCTCGTACTCACTCCTGAAGCGACTCACTTCTGATCTAAGAGTGGCATTTTCTTCTTTTAAAACTTCGGCACGCTGTGCCAGCTCATCACATTCTGCCTGACTCACAAGCAAGCATAAAGATGCAATAAAATCATGGAACCACACAAAGTGAGGTAATCAGAGCATAAACAAAATGAAAGAACACTTTTTTACCTGCTTTCTCAACCTGGATCTGCGAGCAGATTCTCTGTTGGACAGCTTCCTTCTCTGTCTTTTAAGCTCTCTTTCATCCTGAACTTGAGAAAGATGAGGTATCAAATGAGGTAGTTACAATAACAATAAAATATCAAACTATTCAAGTGTTTTGAGAGACAAATCATGTCATTCCATACATCTGATGCCAGATCACCTAGGCAATGGTCCAGCAGATAATCCAAGTGCTTAAGGATCCACCACCCCACACGTCATATATATCATATCAAGCATGGTATGTGTTTAAGCAAAATATTATATATCATATCAAGTATGGTATGTGTTTAAGCAAAATATTTTAACTCCATCACTTCTCAATAGCCAAAAACTATACTTTTCCAAGGATCCCGAACATTGTTGGGCTTGGCTTGTGTAGACTCGTGAAGACTACACTCGTGTAGGCTCACAGGTGTTCATGAACATAGGCTCATGGAAACGTTCAACATAAGCTTGTATAGGTTCATGAACTTGCGTTCATAAACATAGCCTCTTGTAGGCTCATACAAGTTCATGAACGAGTTAAATGAGCCGAGCATGAACTTTTCAAAATAATGCCAAAGTAAGCCAGAGCTTGGTTTTTCAAGCTTGTCACAATCCGAGCCGAGCCAAAATATACTGAAGCTCGGCTCAGCTTGATTCATTTGCAGCACTAGTCTTGCTAACTGTTAGTTGGGAAAAAATATATATTTATCATGTTCAATGTGGCCCCAAAATAAATTCCTGGCTCCCTCACTGGTGAACAACAAATCAAGGGAATTTCCCAAGATTGAAGATGAAGACGAGAAAAAAAGACAACAGCCCACCTTATTACTGACGCGTGTTAAAAGGGTTGGCAGCGCTTCATCTCGTGGCATCAATGCAAGTTAGGTTTTATTGCTTTCATGGCCAAAAGTATGAGCACCTCCTAAACTTGAAGAAATGTATGATAGATTTGGCAACAAAAGAAGCTAATAATATTGAGAGTACACCATAGCAAAGAAGTAATGGACAAGGAAAGGTGTATTTGCCAAACTCTATCATATACTCGACTAGTCAAACCTAACCTCTATAAACCAATGAACAGAACACAATGGTATGATAAACACAGATGGGACAGCACAGACATGACACGTTACGACACGCCATATCCTTAAAAGGCAGGATAAGGGCATGGTTTGGACACATATATATAAAGAAATCCACAATCCCTGACCACATTGAGCTTCAGTTGTTCCGCTCTTCCACTGAGTCAGGGAAAGTCTCGTAGCCTGCCGGTTACCGGCTCAAGAGAAAGCCTTTCAGCTCTGTAGCTCTGAGCTCTATTGGGCGGAGGTTTCTTGAAACTATCGGACTTGAAAGAATAAGGGTTTATATTAATTATATAAATAAATTGACTAATACAATTATAAAACTTTGATTAATTTTTAATTTCTATACCAAGACTTACATAATTTAGAAGATGAAGCTATTTGAATGTCGTAAAGGTTATTATAGTATAGATGCTACTGCTCTCCTACTTTGTCATTAAAATTATATCTTTGTCTTATAAGAAAATTTGTCAATTCACGCTTAGAATTGTAGTGAACATGTGATTAATGTTTATTTTTCTTATTGAAAAAGAAAAAGTTAATAAACTAGGTTAACATTATATTATAGATGCTACAGCTCTCCTACTATGTCAATACAATTATATTTTTGTCTTACAAGTAAAAATGTCAATGCATTCTTAGACTTGTGGTGAACATTTGTATAACATTTATTTTTTTTAATGAGAAAGAGAGAAAAAATTAAAATTATCTTCAAGATTGTCGGACATGGCTACTCCCAGATTTGTTTTTGTTAGTCAAGACTTGTGTCAAGGAGCGTCTGGGATGTGCCCACTGAGCGTTTAGGATATACAGATCAAGTGTTTCAAATAATAAAATTTATTTTAAAATTAAGGACACGTTCATGAAATATTGGTCATGTGTCCAAGAGAGTCTATCAAATGTCGGTGTCCAATACGTGTCCGGAACACGACAACATCATGAAAATTATGTTACCTTGACTCGGCCCACTCGATTGAGGGTGCTGGAAGTATTATATCATTCTAACCTTCAAAATGTGGGATATGTAGACTCGGATAACGAGTCAAAGAGCCCTTAAAATAAATTTTATAAAATTTCAATATGATAAAACTAAGAGGAAGGGTAAAATTGAAGGGAAAAAAAAAGTATGAAATAAGTGAATTTGCAATAATAAGTATTATTATTGACGCAAATTTGTAATTATAGCAAAATTTTAGGATATACATTTATAAATTTTTAAAAATATATGGAAAAAAGTGAAGGGTTTCTCATTTCAGAATTGGGCCGCTAGTTCAGGTCTTCAAAAAGGGTTAGAAACCAGCAGGTTGATTGGCGACCAAAAAACCTCCAATAAAAATCATTCCAACAACCTTTCCGACCGACAACAATGAGTTTCGAGTTAAGAACCTTCGATAGAGCATTCCAGATATGTTTTCGGTTCTGACAAAGATTAACCGCGTTAAAAGGTTTTTATTCCTTCACTTTTTTTCCCCCTTCCGTTTTCCTATTCCATTTCTTTCTCTCCAACTCGGATGAACAACCGTGTAGCACCCATGTCCAGCACCTGTGTCCATGTTATGTCAGGTCGACACAAATGCACTAGGGAAAAGCGGCGAGTCTGAAAGTGTTGGTGCTTCTAAGATGTTAAACATAACTAATCTTAAAGGGAGTAAGGTGGTCATTTTAGGAAATGAGAGTAGCCCAAGAAAAACTAAGCCAATTTACAAATACAGATAAAGTAGCCTCCTTCCACAGAAATTGCACATCACTCTCTACAATAAGCACAAAAATTGTTTCCCTTCCCCCCACTCCCTCGTGGACAAATCCATGATTTGCATCTTATGCCATCGCGCATGCCACTTCTAGAGTGTGTTCAATTAAAGTTGGAAGTTATTCTATTTGAATAGGAGTTAGGGTTTGACATCCGTATCTGATAATCCAGATATGGATCCTGACATTAAAATATGAATCTGGACCTGATTCACATGTTCCATTTAAATACCTAAGCGTTAGCCAGTTGCACAATTCAAAATATTTTAAATGACATAATCCATAAGCAAATCGAAAAATCAAGAGGAAAAGAAGGGGAGAGGGGATAATCATATTCCTATCTTTAATGATCTTATAAACATGCTCAACTATGTGGCACAGGGGGGAAAACTGTGTTTGTGGAAATTTCAGGTACACAATGATCCTAAAAAGAACAATACTAAGACAAGTTTTAATTTTTATTCAAAAAGCATGGACTGAAAAGGAAGAAATACAAAAACAAAAAGGAAGAAAAGAAAAAGAAACCTGTAGCCAAGGTTGTGATTGCCCGCTCTCCCTTGATCCAGCAGCGGCCTTTCCATGAAGAGTGGATGCAGTTGCATTACCCCAGTAATCCATACCAATATTTAAGTTGGTGGCAGGAGCACCAGAAGCTGCCATTGGCATGACACCCATTGTTTGGTTCACCATCGTATGAGGCATATTTGGACCTCCATTATGAGAACCATGCATACCACTGCCATTCTGAGATGCTTCAGCTGTAATAAATACATCGTAATACTTCATCAAATATCATGAAACACTGACAAAAAAGTTACTGCATATAGCAAGAAATAGTTTTACAGCCTAACCTTCTGAAGAATCTTGCTGGCATCCTGACTTTGTTTGTGAGTCCTGCACAAAAATAAATAAAACAATATTATATAATCACCCGGAAAGGAAGAAAAAGCAGCACGAGAGTGTGATGAATGCTGATCAATAAAGACAAGAATGCTTTTAAGTGTCGATGACTACTTGAAATACCATTCTCTTACGGTGGGAGAGGGAGAATTTAGAGCCAGTTAAGCCAATAGCATATCAAGCAGCATAAATTACTTAGTTCATATAGACATTGTCGTCCATGATATATGGTACATAGGGCAGACAACCAGATTGAAATGAACAAAGTTATGAAGATTTGTCTCCAGAATAAGAGACGGTCATTAAATGTTACACAATTTGCATGTTGATCAAAGCTAATAAGGAGAAGAATTGGAAGTCTTCATCACCCATGCATGGTTATCCATGGGCATGACAATTCCAAGATGGAACCATACTGACCCCATGTCAGACAAACTCTTTCAAAGCTCCTGGAATCATGTTGACAGACATCAAATGAGTCCAAAATCTAAAACTATTTTTGATATCATTTGCAAGGCCAAAAAAGGTTACATGTGTAGCAGACACTTTCTGACACAAATTAAGGATATCATTATTTATATTAAAATCTTCAGTTTTAAATGGTAAAGAAAATAAGGAATTCCAGAAGTCCTGGCAAAAATCCACAACACCTAAGACTTTCAGAGTTGTTAATAAGAAAATACATTTATTCAAGCTGCCACAACCTGAACAATAAGGTTCCACTGGGATTTTATTAATGTTGCGACCCCAACTCGGAATACCTTATTGGTAAACTTATTCTCTCTATTACATTAAACTCGTTCATTTCTGCACATATTCTGAATGTGAATTTATTCACCACTGCTACAATTGTTGCACTTGTTTTTCAGTGATAACATCTTATTGCAGCTCATTTCTAACTCTACCCTTCAAGTTCGTGATTTGCTCCAAATTTTTAATTATTGAATTTGAATCTTAGGACCCTTAGCATTAGCTAAGTTTGCCATAATCTTAGATTCGTCAATCCCAAGCATGTGGTTTTATGGTTATAAATTTTGGCTTATAAGCAAGGACCCATTCAAAACTTACGAAATAACTTCTGGTAAAGCAGAAAAAAGACACCCGCCATTATACTCCTATTTCCCACAGCATCCAGCCTCCAAGCTATTCCCAATGCTTGATACCGAACACCAAATGGTGACTGACAATCAGGTTCAGCATCCTACGATGTCTAAAATAAGCAACTGAGCTCACAGCTCCAACAGAGAGCCACATAATGTTTGCAACATCTTTCACAGGCTATGCCTAGTTAGTGATTTTTACAAGCATCAAAAAAATTTATAATGATGACAACTTAGTACTTTGCAGTCAGTTCAGGTTGGCTTAGTCTGAGATGCTTGCTTATTCTAACAAGTTTTGTGTTACTTCAGTTGTGGATGCTGGTACTCTTACTAATTTCCATTCATTGATGGTTGATATTAAACTCACACTCCTATTTCGGAGTAAAACATTTTCCTATTTTTTTTAATTTACTTTCACCAATGTTTGGTCACAATATGACTAGTCAAACATTTCAAAAAGTAAAAGATCTTACTTCTAGAGTTCAAAAACAACTTATGAATTTAACTTCCAGAAGTCAAATTTGGAAATTTTAATCGATGACACCGAGTCTCTCTATACCTTCTCAACCGACGTAAAGAGAATGAACTAGCAGAGAGGGGAACCACTATAGGACCTAATCACAGACAACACATGACAGTGGCTAGCATTTCTCTTCAGATATTTAATGCTTTTGTTTTTGGTATTTATGCTAAACATTTTTTTGTTGTGTGCATTTATAGCTTTTGGACTATGTTATGTGGAAAATTATGATATTTGTTATTAGTAAAATTTCCTATGAAAATATAATTTTTGGCCAAGCATCTGACTTTTTCTCCTTTTTTTTTCTCTTTTTTTTTTTTTTTTCCAGAAAATATTTTCAACCGCAAAACACTGGAAAATGAGAAGAAAACCAATTTCTGTGTAAAATATCATGTGGAAAACATTTTATGCTAAAACAAACGGAATTATTCTTTCCTTTTTCTTATGTGCTTCTTGATAGAAGAACAATCAAAGGAAAAGTATACATATTAGTATAACTTTTCCCTTTTTCTATAAGTATTACAAACATCTTAAAATGGTCAAGCACTGACATATTTGGCTTAAAGTGATCTGGCTTATTTCATTCATGGCATAAAGGTACAAGAGCAGTTCTATTCTCTAATCAATTGAAGCTGACTTTTGGCTGAACAAGTAGTAAAATACTCAACAACCAGGATATGAAAACATCCAAATTACTCAAATACAAATGCTTCTCTACTTAAGAAATTATCTTCCATCCACCAAAACTCCTACTTCCCTTAAATTTCTCATTGAGAATTAAAAGAGGGAGAGGAGAAAGAAATCAACACTGGACCAACCATATTACACCGGTGCATTAAAAAGTTGGTATTACCAAAAAATAGTCAACGACAACCTGCAGAACTAATATTCATGTAACAAAGACCTTCAATAAATGAAAAAAAAATAAAAAATAGCTTTTAATGAAATATTACTTATCCCCAAAAAAAAAAATGAACTTATAAAAAGTGTGGCATATAAATTGCCGCAGTATAAAATTTAACTAATCCATAAAGATGGCTCCCTGATTCCATGAAATTGAATGTTCGTTAAGAAAATAGCTAGATGCATAAAGAATGTCTTCCCAACTTCTTTTTAAAAAATGCATGTAGTACCTACATTTTGAGAATTTGCATCACTTCCTTCACTTGAACCTTCACTTGCACTCTCAGCACTGCAAATCACACCATCAACTAAAGTAGTCAGTCTCAACTGATTAATAGTGAGAACAAATCAGCATAGTCACTAGATTCACACACAATATGCACCATATAAACCAGTTTCTCAGGCCCCAAGGCAACAATAAATAGATTTAGATATTACGAAATATTAATGTAATGAAGATATATTGTGACAATTTCTTTAACTTCACTATAATTTCTTGGAGACCAGGTTGAAAATGATAAGAGGTGAAAATCATAAAAGCCCCAAGTGGTGAGGACTCGTCAGTGATTGCTTCCATGGCCTTTGCATAATTCATTTAACCTTTTCTAATCCCAATTGGTTGCTGACCTTTGTCCAATCTTCAGATATCCCAATATGGAGAAATATTGAGTTCAATAATGGTTTATTGAACTCAATGCACAGGCCAAAAGTGGTCCTCAATCCTCATCAATGAAATTCGGAAGACCATAACTGGTACTGGTTCCAACAATAAGGCGTGTTAGGAGAGTTAGACTAATTACAGAATTAACTTTTGTGTATTCAATCAGAAGCGATGTTCCTCAGTTTGAAGCTCTAGTTTTTACCACTACGCCAAGCAATGGCCCCTAATGCTTATTCATGGCCATGCAATTCATCCAATAGACAGTTGCATCATACCTTTTGGAATAGATTCCGTTAGCTCCTGAAGTTTTACCAGGTTCACTACTTTTGCCTGTAATCATATTCAAACTGCCCAAACTTCCCTTAGATCTTTTGATAGGCAATTTTTCCTTCCCCTCAGATAACTTGCCATCTGTTTCCATGCTTCCAGCCGCACCAACCTACATGCAAATTTACATGTTATTCTCCAAAATAACATATATGGTCAAATACATTCATTCAACAGCAAACTGTATTACAATGTGGTGCATGTATACAGATAACTCACAGAAACCTCAGCAATGCCATTAGGAGAAGGCATGGCAAAAGGACTGAATGGATAAGATCCCTGTTTAGATCAGAGAACATATAGTATAGAGTTAGGGGAATCTAGAAAAGAGGTGGACACTGTTCGAGAAGCAGAACCAAAACATGATCAACAAAAAACTACCGGAGGTATAGATGGATGAGGGTATATCCCACCATGGGGATACATTGCCACATATGGATGTGGTGGTGCACCATAAGGTGGCATAAGATGCTGCATAGATAAATTTCAAAATTAGAATAGTAGCAAATACCAAGCATAAGTTGAAATCATAGAATTAAAATAATGGTATAAATAAAGATTTGGCACTTCAGCCGAGACATAAACTAATAAAACAATGGCTACAAAAATCTCAAGTTATTTAGGATTCTTTCTCATACATATACCTTAACTCGCCCCTTGGAAAAAAGATTACTTATTTGAAAGAACCTTAAAATGCCTGCCCCTTCCTTTGACACTCTCTCTTCTCTCCTCTATTTATCTAGCTTTTCTGTATCTCTCCCCTTTCTCTTTCTTCCTTGTATCTCCTCTTCTACTCCTTATTGTTCTCCTCATTCTCCTAGACTTTTTTTCTCTAATTGAACTGCTTTTGTTAATCTTTCATTGTTTCATGGAACACCACACTGTGATTATACTGAGATCTTTCCTTTATACTACGTGTTTTATCACTTCTTTTTCTTTACCTTCACTCACAACCAGCCTTTATTTCGTTGAGCTAAGAGTACTTCCTTTGCTTTTTAGACACACCTTTATTGCATTTAATGAACCATGTAGCATATTATAACAGTTTGTGGTTTGATTATGTTTCTCGTGAAGTTTGCTTCCGAAAAAGTTTCTTGACAAATATACTTGAGTTCTGGTTGGTAGTTCCTTGTTTTCTAGTTTTCTGGAGAGCACGACAAGGTTACCAGTTAACTGGCTGGTGGTTCTGGATCCCATTCACATAAAATTCTCCACCCATTTAGAAAACACTTATTGAAACTAGAGCTACATGAAATGAGTATTCAAAATGGTTTACCACATCCCATATTCATAGGTACAAATATATATATTACATAAATAAAAAAAAATTAGATAAGCACCAGCACAGCTCATGACCAATCACATACTGCATGGATAATGCCTTTTCAATGCTTGGTAGAAGGCCTATGTCAACACATAAACTAAAAACTGAAGCATGAAAGCAATTGGTGAAAATGCATGGCTACTAAAATAACCACACCCACGAGTAATTGAGCCAGCTCAATATCACCTAGCCGTGCTCACAACAAAATAGCTGAAGTCCAAGCCCAATTTCTAGGCTCAATTTCCTATGACACCAAACTTCTATACACCAAGCTTGGATATTAAGACTCGTAAAAAATTATGGCAGTTGTCATATGGTGGCTGATTAGAATAACATAACCTCTCAAAGTGTCCAAAACAAATACTCTACAACAATTATTATCACTTGGGAAGTGAGAGTTTTGAATTTTGACAAACAACCTATTTATATATATATATATATATATATATATATATGTTGGACTAAAGTAACAAGCTGGGATAGTCTTATAAGCAAGCTTTAACAGGCTATTTGAGCACAGCTCGGGCTTTTTAACACTCAACCAAGCCAAGGATAATTCAACACATATTGTGAAATGCAAAAGACATGTAACATATTTGGAAGGATTTAATATGTGAAGCAGATCAACTAGTTGATATAGCCTTGAGACACCCATTCTACACAACAGAGGAGTAAAATCTCTCAGGTGGGCTATTACTCAAGAAAAAGAGCTTCTCAAACATCATATTCTGTTAGGAATCGTACTAATCCCACTCAAAAAATAAATAAAACTAATGCAACATGTATACCTGAACTCCCCACATGTAGGGATGAGCTTGAGGACTCGATGCTAAGAACCCGTGTGGAGGTAGTGGAGAATATGCCTGGTGCAAACACAATCCATGCCAGTATATAACTATCAGAACACAATTTTTGGGATTGAATCAAAAAGACCAAAACAAAATTTTTTGACTGTCGAACCTGAAAACCTGCCCAATCTGGATTAACTGTGCCAGTGCTTGTAGATGAAGACAGCTCCTGAACCACCAAGGAATAGCAAAATACATATGAATACTTACAAAAACAATATAGCCAACATGACATGAACTGAAATAAATTCAAAAAAACATAAGTATACCTGTGGAGTAGGTGTCTTTTCCTCCTTAGCCTCTTTCCCAGGTTTATCCATCTCACTGCTACCCATGATTCAATCACACCACCTTCTCAAAGATTAATCAAACCATACTGCAAATGTATAAACTGTATTACATAATTCACATCACAACAATGCATACACACACGTATTATCAATTGTATTTAATTCAACTCAACTCAATAAATTCTGTCCCAACTAATTTGGGGATTATTCTTACCAGGAAAATAAAAAATAAAAAAATAAAATAAAAATAAAACTACTTTGGGGTTTAGTTTACATGAATCTTTTCTTACTATATTAACCCGTATTAATTTTACTCATCCCCTTCCCTGCCATTATCCTCGCTGTGGCCCAGCTCTTTCCACTGGTGCACTCCTCTACCCTCAACTCATCCAACTTCGATTATTTTAGTAATGTCATCTCCAATCTGTCACTCTGTGACTAATTGAGTCAAGGTAACAAAATCATTAGCTTTTTCGTATCTTCTGATCCTGTCTTCATCGTATTCCTAATTTACTTCTCTCCAAACCTCTAACTTAACATTTATCACAGGTTCAGTTTCATCAAACAAAACAATATCATCAACGGAAAAATTCCTGCAATTATATATTTAAATATATAGATAATACAGTATCTATTGTGTTTCTAAAAAATAGAATATAAATAAACTGAAAACCCTAAAATACCAAAAGAAATAAATATTTACACTCAAATAATATATAGGGTAGCGTTACACTGGTACCATCGATCAAAAGAGAGAATTTTTATCTAGAAATAGAAAATTATTTCAAACCATCAAATTCATCTTCCGTCGAATTCCCACAGATAGAATTATAATAACCAATTCACCAAAATTAAGGGGCTTCTACGATTATGTGCTCTCGCACATATATATATATATATATAGATAGTTATATCCATCCAAAGACAGAAAATTTGTCTACATATATAACAATTAGACGATCAGAACCCTACAAAAGTGGATGAGAATTTGATAAACAGACAGAAAAGAGCAGAATTCATTAAAGCTTTGGACTTGATGGCTTCAATTACCGCGACAGACGAGACGGACTCGTTGAAGTGAAATCGAGATCTGAACCACTGAGTCGACTCACCAATTGAGACGATCAATCTGTTGTTTATATGAAATCCATAGATGGAACCCAACCCAATTGATGCGACTATTTAGTGAGAGAAGCAAGAGAAAGAGAGAGAGAGAGAGAGAGAGAGAGAGAAGGGGGTAATAAAAAGTACAGTGATAAAGAGAATGATAATATGCACTCCCGTTTTATGTCATTTTCACTTTTAATTCGAGTGAATTTGGTTAAAATAAACAAATAAATATTGTTCAATCCGTCCATTGTTATTATAACTCTCCACAAATTGTTGCTAAGGTGTAAAATCGTCGAATGTCGATAGCATCTCAATTTGTAGCCTGGAATGGGTCCTGAAGAAACCCTGCTTAAGTGAATTATGATGCTAACCAATATATATATATATATATATATATATATATATATATATTGGCACCCTAAATACAATATAAATAAATTAAAAAGGCAATTGTAGTTTAAAAATGATAATTTTGTTGGAATAAATATTTCTAGTTTCAACTATCCAAGTGTTACGAGTTTTTGCTCTCAAATCTAAAAGTTCATACAGCTAAGTTCATATCTGATCTAAAAATTTATGTTGTTAAGCTCCTATGATCTTTTCTATTTGAATCTAGCAAGTGCCTTTCTATCACCTATCTATACAACCAATTCGAAACACATTCACTTAGTGTGACTTTGATTAAGAATTGAACCTAATTTTAATACCCTTATAACGAGTCAAGACCTAAATACTTAAATAGTTGGATAGTGTTGTTTGATCACTTATATAAGTTCATAACCCTTTTTTCGTCCAAATTAGAGAAGAGACAACAAATAACACTAGGCATTGAGTGGTTTGTCTTTTCTTTTTTTAAAAAGCAATTATTTATTGATGTGTCTTTGTTTTCGAATGAAATTGGATTTTATTTTTGAGATACTATTTTTAGTAAGAAATATATTTGTACAAAAGTAACAAAGATGCAAAGGTCTATTTTGTTTGAGAGAAATGAAAATTTTAGATTTTTAATACCTCCATATAGTAATTTCCTACAATTTAATAGGTGATAAGTTTTGAATATCTGCAAATATGCTTATTTAAGTGAGAGTGGAAACTAGGTCCTAAAAGACCTCTTTCATTATAAATTTATAATGATCTTACTCTAATATTGTGAAGAATGAGAATAAAATACTACTCACAAAAACAAATTGTGGTAAATTCAATAATATATATATATATATATATGTATATGTATATCTCAAACATGATTTGGTGTTAATACTTTTATTTATTTTTGTTTTATCACATTAAATCAACAAAAACACTAGCCACTCTAGTTTAGAAAAGATGGAGTCAACAACTCATTTCATTCCATTTATATTTGCCTACTTTGTGCAGATAATATAATAATTTTGCAAGGAGTTTGTTAGTGAAAGTTTAATAATTAGACAATAGTTGTTAAACATAAAATTAAAATCAAATAATTATATTTTGGATAGATTGATTTAGGATACGATTTATTTAATTATTTATTTAATATTTTTTCTTGTTTTCATATTTTACAATAATATTCCTAGATTGATTAGGATATGGTTTATTTATGTATATATATTTTTTAAATACCAAAATCCCCCCCTCCTCTGTCTTCTCTCGTTAGTCGTTGCTAATCACCTCAGAGTTTCTCATTGTTCATTAACAGCTGACGTTGTTTTTTTTCTCTCTATCGCTCACATACACACATATATCGTGTATATACACACACAAACCACAAACGCGTATAAATTCTCCCTTGTCGATCTCTCTTGTAAGTTGCAAATCCGAAACAATCAGCAATGGGTTACGAAAACGATCCGTAAGTTTTTCTCTCTAGATTTCCCCTTTTTCCAAGATTAGGGTTAGGGTTTCTGATATTCAATCGATTGATTTTTCTTCAGGTACCGCGACGAAGATGGAGAACCATTGATGGACTTCGATGACGACGTCCAATCCGACCAGGAGCTCCAGGGAGGCGACCCTAATCTTCTCGATGACAATCTTGATGATGAAGACGACGACGCTTGGCGTCGGCGAGAGAGGTCACCGACGCCAGTTTACAACGACACCGATTCGAAAGCGAAGCCTCGCAAACGGCTCATCAAGAAGAGCGCCGCCGTAGAGAGCACTCCTGATTTTGGTATCGACGATGATGAGGCGACGGCGATTGTTGGTGGTGATTCGGATGATGATAGGTGGTCGTCTGAGGGCGGTAAGAGGAAGAAGTTTTCCAAAGATGGGGTTGGAAGTGGTAGTAAGAAGAAGGATAAGAAGTTGAAGCTTGACAAGGCTGGATCGAAATTCAAGTTGAAGAAGAGTACTGGGTATTCTGGAGGGCGATCGAAGGATCACGACGGTGATCCAGAGGTGAAGGAGATGTGGGACACGATTGCTGGGGGCGATTCTGAGGTTATATCTCAATTCTTTACATGATCTTTGAAGTATACTACTGTTTGATAATTTTATTTATATTGATTGGGTTTAGTTGATTCTGTAGTTTAGCGAACTTGGATTTTATTTCATAATGCTAAATATGTTTTTATATGGTTGGTAGTGGAGTACATTAATATTAGTTTTGTTTTTTAATTTCTCTGCAAATATAGTAGTATATGGTGCAATTTGTGATGCTATTTGTATATGATCACATTCACATATATGTAATTTATAATGACTAGCAGGTGCATACAGATACACCCGGATTTAGTTGTAGGAATTGTGGAAGGGTAGAAATTTGAAAATTTCAGGTTAATGGATGGTTACGAGTTTAAAAGTTGTGCATTTTATAATGCCCAGAATTGAGAGGTAAACATGTTGCTGCTTGTAGGTAGGAGTACCTGAAAAGGGGAAGTGAATTGTTCAAATCACAATTGGGATGCAAATTTGTCTGTCTCCTACTATTCAAAAGAGAGGAGGAAAAAAAAAAAAAAAAAGTTTTTGGTATTTTTGTTTTACCATAGTCTGCAAAGTAGAGTGGAGGGGAAAATAAAAATGAAAATGTTCATGGATTTTCTTCAAACTTGAGAAAAATAAACCCATCAGTTGTGCTCTATTTATGTTTCTCTTTATTTATTAGTTCTTCTTAAGAAGATGTGATTTCAATTAATTATTAACGCATTGTTGATCTGTTTGTTTTCAAATTGTTTAGGACGATCATGACGGTGTTAGGACTGTTGATGATGATAACTTCATAGATGACACTGGTGTGGATCCTGCTGATCAGTATGATAATGAACCGCATTCTCCTGGTGATGCTCCTCAGGTAAAAAATTCCATCCTTGTCCAAATATTGATGGCGTATTGCCACTAGAGTGATTCTCTTTGTTTCTTTTATCTATGAAGCCCTTTGGCTGTCATAGTAGTAATTTTGTACTTCTCTATTATGAAGGCTGTATGCTTGTATTTAAACACAAGTCTGTCTTGAAAGTTTTTGGTCAACTTATTTGTTTCTCTTTACTACTTTGGCAGGCTGAAGAGGATGAGGAAATCACAGAGCTCTTCAAGATGGGCAAGAAAAAGAAGAAAAGTGAGAAAAGTGCTGCAGAAATTGCATTGCTAGTTGAAAATGTCATGGCTGAGCTTGAAGTTGTGGCAGAAGAAGATGCAGAACTGAATAGACAGTCAAGACCTGCCATAAATAAACTGAAAAAGCTGCCTCTCCTTACAGAAGTCCTCTCAAAGTAAGATGATTGTCTCTCATTACTTAGGATTTGTGTTTTTACTGCATGCATTCTTATCTTCTTTCCCATCTCAACTGCTTTTGGTACAGAAAACAACTTCAGCAAGAATTCTTAGATCATGGAGTATTAACTCTTTTAAAGAATTGGCTCGAGCCCCTGCCAGATGGAAGCTTACCTAATATAAACATCCGTGCTGCAGTATTAAGGATCTTGACTGATGTAAGAACAGCGTTTTCTCCCATCGAATCCGTTGACATGTAGTATATATTATTGCTTAATGTATAGCAAATATGTAGAACCTAATATATTGTTTTCATCTTGCAGTTTCCAATTGATTTAGAGCAGTATGATAGAAGAGAACAATTGAAGAAGAGTGGTCTTGGGAAGGTTACTTTCCACTCTCTACAGCAACAGTTGCACATTAATTAATAATTTTGCAGTTTGGTTGGAGAGGGACAACTGACCGAATTACTTTAATTTGAGCAGGTTATTATGTTTTTGTCGAAGTCTGATGAGGAGACCACATCCAACAGAAAACTTGCCAAGGATTTGGTTGATAAATGGGTAATGTGACTTATTTGTTTATTTTTGGCTTCTGTAAAGCTATTTACTCACTCTTGCCACACATTTGTACCCACTCTTACAATTTTTTTGGTATTTTCTGCTAGTGGATATTGTATGAAAGCAGTTTAGGTAACTTATAGATTATTCCCCACTTCAGTGGTCATATGTAGGAGAGATGTTCTATAAGATGGTTATCAAAATTTGTCATGAAACAGTTCCTGATTTTTTTTTGTTTTTGTTTCATACTGATCTGTGCTAGTTTATAGAACTTCTGAATTCTTGAGACATTATGTCTAATATTCTTTTTTTTTTTTTTTTTAGCTATGCATTTGTTAGCATTGCTTAGATCTTTACCTGGACTTGTTTGTAAATATAAGTTCTGTCTTGGAGAAATTTTTTTGTGGAACTCTTTTTGTATTCATTTGTATTGACATCTTCTTATCATTTTGCAGAGTCGACCAATATTCAATAAGAGCACAAGGTTTGAGGACATGAGAAACTTTGATGATGAGAGGGTTCCTTTTAGGAGGCCATCTGTGAAAAAGTATCTATCATCTTTGTGATTATGTTTCTTCCCAAGTATTTTATATGATTTAGGTTTCTTGTTGTTTCCTTACATGTGAAATGTTCTATTATTTCCCAACAGGCCAATGAACAAAGCTGCAGGAATGGAATCCAGAGATGATGATCTTGATTTGGCTGAATTCTCACAGTAAGATGTCATGAAAGATTATACCAGTTTTTTTTCCTCGTCAGGAAGTCAATTCTTATTAATGAAACACGTGCTTTGCACTGTGTTCTCAATGCATATATTTCGGAACTTCATTTTTTTGGACGGCAATGCAGAGGATCAAAGTCTGGCCAGTCATCTTCCAGGCAACATGCATCGAGGCCTGAAGCAATGCCATTGGATTTCTTGGTGCGCCCCCAATCAAAGATTGATCCAGATGAAATTAGGGCTCGAGCTAAACAAGTTGTGCAAGATCAACGTCGTTTGAAGGTTGGTTCTTATTTCTCTCATTTAGACTTAAGTTCGAAAGAATAAAGCTAGCTGTTAATTTTGTGGCTAATAGGCAACATGCATCATTAGTTGAATATATAATTTTCTGTTGACCCCTGTTAATGCTTATGTTCTTTGAATCTGGTGACAAGAATATAATGCTTCAATTTAAATGTTGATGATTCTTGTTTGAAATATACTTTTAATAATCAGAAGTCTTCTCTATTTTTTTGAAAGTAGTTTGATATCACACACACCCTGGTGGAAACTTAAACCCAAGCTTGTGTTTCCAACAAACTTTTCCTGCTGAAGCAGTTGGTTGTATAACTTGTATTGCATTATTTTGTGTTAAAAATTCAAGGCAGCATGTTATGATTGAGCGGATAGAGAGAGTTAGGTCATAAACAACTGAGAATTGCAATTATATACTGAATTGTTTATTAAAAATTTTTGTTGTGAATGTGCTAGAGGATTTCTAAGATGATATTGGATCATGCTTTTGCTTGTAAGCTTAGTTCAACCAAGCTATGTTCGGATATTTGTCCTGGATATTTTCATGACAGTGAAGATGTTCTGATCCAATTGGAGATAAATTCTTTTAAAGATTAAACCACAATGGCATGTTTATTCTTTGGCCTCCTACGCCGTGGTGTGTGTTGGGAGATTGTGTTCTAATTTTCTTCCATGTTCCCTGCATGGTCTGTTTTATTGGAGCATGTGTTCTAATTTTTCCAAGTTACATGTATGGTGTGCATATCTTGAAGACGTGTTCTTGTTTTAGTTTTTCCTTGTCCGAGACAAGTTCTAAATACTAAGGTTTAATTTCATGTTATTGGCAGATGAACAAGAAATTGCAACAGTTGAAAGCACCAAAGAAGAAGCAGCTTCAAGCTACAAAACTCAGTGTCGAGGGTCGTGGCATGGTCAAGTATTTATAGTCATTTCCATTCAATGACCGAGTTTGAAGAGCCCATCTTATGGGCTTATAGTTTGTACTGCTATTGCACCGGGCTGAAGAACGAGATTATCACTAGACTGCGTTGTCCGAAGATTCTAGGATGAACGGGCAGGTTGGGCGATGTTGTTGCTTCGAGAGTTGGTGCCCTGGAGGTTAGGTGGCTATGTTTCTATATGTAATTCAACAATTTCAGTATGTTATGAATATCTAACCTCCAGATGATGCTGATATTTCCATATCAAGTGTAACAATTTTTTTTTTTAATAAGAGTGAAGTAGCTTTGTTTCTGAATTCGGCCCGATGACTCGTGTTTAGCTGTTCAACATTTTTGGGCATTTGTATGTATTTATGTATATATGAATGGCTGCTATCAAGGTCATGATCTGGCTCTCCAGTCCAATGAGCATGCTAGGGATTTCTGGGTTTTGAATCTGGCTGAGATTTGCAATCTTGAAAATAATCCAATTTAAAAACTTCCATCAAAACCTAACAATTTACAGGTTGAATTCGAACAAGGTGAAAACCTCAAAGATCTACTGCGAACGAAAACTTGTTGATTATTTGCAAGTTTGTAAAGGGACCAGTAGTATTTCTTTTATTTTGTTTTTCACATCTAAAAGCTTTTCTTGAATTAATTTTTAAAAATTTTTAAAACACTAATTTCATGCAACCAAATATATGAATATTGGTCGAGGAGTCGGGACTTTTTATTTCTGGATGTTTATTCACTCTCGTGATTCACCTGTGTGTTTTTACTCATATATCCTTTTGTTGAAAGTTCAAACGACGAAGTCTACCCCGAAAAACAAGTCTTGACGTGACCCCTGAATCATGTACAACCTTCCATTTGTATCACATTGACATTTCCATTCACATTCATGTTTCAGTCAACTTGACGAGTACCCCCAAGTCGTCTCTCTCTTTCCTCTTGCCTTCCATAGGCAATCTAGACGACTACAACTTTCACACCACAATTGCTTAACCATTTGTTTATGCTTCAAAATTGATCAACATACATATGGAAGGATCTCCTGCTACTCTTAGAATAGCAATTCTTGTAGTTGGTGTCATCTTTTATGTTCTTCTATGGATATCAAATATTTGTGCAATTCATTATTGGACCAAAAATCGCAAAGTGAAGCCTCTTGTATCAGACTCTTCATTAGGAAATCACTACACCAAAGTTTCTCACGCAGAACTTCTTCAAGCTACCGATGGGTTCTCTCCGGCCAAGCTGGTTGGGGAGGGACGTTATGGCTCTATTTATAAAGGGGTTCTGAGTTTTGGCGGAGAAGTTGCTGTTAAGGTACTCAAGCTTCAATGCCGAGGAGCAAGAAAGAGTTTTGTGGCGGAATGTGACGCGTTGAGGTACATTCGCCATAGGAATCTTGTCAAGATCATCACATGTTGCTCGGGCTTTGATCTCAAAGGCAATGATTTCAAAGCTTTGGTCTTTGAGTTCATGCCTAATGGGAGTTTGGATGAGTGGTTGCATCCAAATTTATCCGTGCAGCTCAACTCAAGGAGCTTGAATCTAATCCAGAGGCTAAACATAGCCATCGATGTGGCGTGTGCATTGGATTATCTTCACAACCAATGCCGACCAGCAATCATTCATTGTGATCTAAAGCCGAGTAATATTCTCCTTGACAACAAGCTTTGTGCCCGTGTAGGTGATTTTGGGCTAGCAAGGTTTCTTACACCTACTACCACAAGGAGATTCAATCATATGCAATCAAATTCATCAATTGGAATAAGAGGAACAATTGGTTATGTCGCGCCAGGTAATTGGTAATTTCTACGTCTCTTACTTTCATATATTTTCGGTAAAAGAGACTGGTTTAATTTTTTTAGGGAAATATATTTAGTTTCAATATTGTAACATTGTAGGTACATAACACTTGTCTACGCTATTTTGATCCTCCTCTACTTAGAGATGACTCAAATTAGTAAATATAATGAGGTTGAGCATATTGGAACTGTTGTTCTTCACTTTTGGTGCCGTGTTTGAACATAATAGTCGATAATAAAAACATTTTGAATGTTGTGTTAAATTCTTACAAATTGCAGAATATGGTCTGGGAGGGGAGGTTACAACTCAAGGTGACGTGTATAGTTATGGAATACTCTTACTAGAAATGTTTACGCATAAAAGACCTACCGATGGTATGTTTATGGAAAACTTAAGCCTCCATAACTTCGTGAAGATTGCTCTCCCAGATAGAGTGATGGAGATTGTTGATCCCCTACTCAAATTGGAAGAAGAATACGAGTCAAACAGGACAGGCCAGAATAGCGAAGGCAACAGGGGAAGAATAGAGAAGTGTTTGGGATTGATACTTCGGATTGGAGTCGTATGTTCAGCTCAATTTCCAAGAGAAAGGAAGAATATAGGTGATGTTCTCTTGCAACTCCATGTAATTAGAAATTATTTCTTGGGTTCGGAGAGAGAGAGATGATATAGAAGTATGGGAGAGAATACACAGTTGAAAAATCATACTTCAGCTCCATAGATGTATAGGTTTTTACAGAATTATTTGAAGGACCGTAGATATATAGATATATAGGTTTTGCTCATCCTAGTTTGTATTTAAGTCCGTGGAAAGGTTAAAGACGGTTGAAGAATTTATGAATTATTATTTCTTTTTTTACTTTCTTATTGCTCTCGGAATTGGAGATACACTTTGAAGCTCAGAGACACAAATCTCTAGCTTGTCCCTTATGATTTGGTAGATGCAAGGATTGACAAGCATGCCACACTAAGCCCCATTAGTCCACCTTTCTTGTCCATCCTTGGTAAAAAGAAAAAAGGTTCATTGGTAAACAAAATGGTGAACTGTGTGGGTCACTAAAACTCGTCACCACCTCAATGTAGCAAGCTGTGAAATGCTTTCTAAATTTATCAAAAATTTGAATTTGAATTTTGGCTTTAACTCGTATCTAATACTTTTCAAAATCTACATGCATATAAGGGTTCCAGAAAAAACAAATCTAGTCTTAACGAAAGGGATACCATTTCCAGTGCACTGGAAAAGGTAAAGATCATCTCATCAATTGTCACATAAACATCTGAGACTTGCAAATTAGGTAACAAAGATTAATTATAACCTAGCATTCAGCTAGAAAACCAACTCCATGAGCCTAAATAGAGCTTGAGAATGTAACAATATAATCATTCATATGCTCGTGAAAGCAGAGTATTTAATCCATTTAACTAATACAATTTCAAAAACCCCAAATGTATGTCAACTAGAACGAACTCTATTTGCCGCTATGCTCGGCCTTTGAATTAGACTTTACAGCACTTTAAAAGTGAAGATGTTAGTTCTACTAGAACAAGTTATTAAACCAAAACAAGATTTCAAGACAAATTTTTCAGGAATATTCGCCGCCAGCTTGCTTTGAAGGGGAGGGAGTTGCTGTGCCAGCATCCTTCTTACCACCTATTCCAAAATAACAGAAACCAACTAAAATGAGCATCAAAGTTGTTAAATGACAACCAAATAAGTCTCCATTGGGGGTGAAGCAAAGTGAACCATAACCATTTCCAAATAGGATGTACATACATATATAATATATATTTCAGGTACAATCATTAATTACTATCTTCCCCAAACATGGCCTTCTTGATCGAGAAAGCTGGTGTTTGGGAGAACAAGGATATTCTCAGGTTTGAGGTCCCTATGAATGACACCTTGTGAGTGAATGCATTCCATTCCTCGAGCAATTTCAACAGCAATTGTGATTAGTTTCTGTAATGGAAGAGATTTGTGATCAAGTTTGGGCACAGGATATACAGAATGTTTTATCTTCCAAAGTCTGCAAACCGTAGTGCCATTATTCCAAATGGACAGTGGCAGAAACCTATGTTCACGGCAGAAGAGGCAAATCAAATTTGGAATAATTTTCAAATCTGTCAAGAACAGGATGGTATCAAATGGAAACGCGGTTCAAATCCTTTTGGCAGATTCATCAAAAAACCTTTATGATTTTTAATTAAGAGAATGTTAATCATAATGCACGTATATTTTTATCATACATAAATCCATATAAATATATTTTTAAATTATACATATGTATATAAGTATACTCTATATTCACATATTATATAATTAAATACATATGTATTCTGGTTCTAAGAAGTTGTTATAATACTGTACATATCCAATTTTCTTTTCTCTAAGGTGGTTCTAAATATATATATATATAAATATCAAAATGACGTTGCAATGCAATTTCGACTGCCATACCCAAAAAAATAAAAATAAAAAATAAATGCAAGGTGGGTTGTATCAAATTGAACACTATGGAAAGACTTAAAAACCCATACACACAAACTGTTCCACAGATCGAAATTACTTAAATTGGTGGCTATAGCATGCCTCTACATACACATGGCCTTCATGTACCATGAGAATTTAGAGGCAACACCACAAGAAACCTATTGGATTCACGCACAAACTCCTGTACTACTAGGTATAGGAAAGGAGAACCTGCGTTGTGAATATAGAATCTGCATCACTATTGTGAATAGAGAAGAAGATCCACAAGCCAACTTGAAGACTTTTCGGATGAAAAACATGGTGTCCCTGAGATCAGGATGCACCTTCTAATGGCTCTGTACAAAGAATAATAGGAAAGATTTACAAAGACTTTTTGAAAACAAGAATTTTAGGGAGTCATTTTTTAAAATGCCACAAAATTACGTACAAAAAAGTAAGAAAGTGGCTCTGTCACAGCTTTTCCCTCAAGGCCGTATATAAAACCGTGTCTACAATACATAAGTAATCCTATTGTATCATCTCTTACACAACTGAATCTTTATATCACACCTAGGGCTGCAAGTCGGTAACTTGGACCAATGCGAAGTTCCGAGTTGGCCTTGACTTTTGTTTCCTATTTAATTTACTTTATTAATGCCCGAGTTAAAGAGATTAGGAATTTCAGTATTAAAATAAAAATACAAATCAAGAGGATAAGAATGAAATGAAAATCCAACTAAACCCAGGCCTGCATATCATCAGGCAAGATTCAAACATAATATAATTATATATAAAATAAATAAGTGAATTAAATAAAATACTAGTCCAATGTAACTGTCTTTGCCAATTCAACATACTTCGATAAAATAATGAATACCATATACATCTCTACAAAGTAAAATAACAAACAAATAAGTGTCATTCAATTTCAGAGTGAAGCAAAGTGAACCATAACCATTTCCAAATAGGATGTTCATAGACAAATAATATATATATATATATATATATATATATATATATCAGGTACAGCATTGATGCTAAAATAATATATATGTCCAAATCGGGTGAAGCAAAGTGAATCACAACCAAGTATTGAATGTGAAGCTATCAGCATTGATGCTTAAAAACACTATTACTTATCAAAAAAAAAAAAAAAAAAAAAAAAAAAAAAACACTATAACTTGATAGCAAATACAGTAACGAAACCACACCAATTAATAGAACTCAAAAGAGGCATTAAAAATTAAACACCAGAAATAAGTTCTTCAATGTTATTATGATAACTAAACTCTTACCTCCCATCAGTAAAATCCCTTCCAGTCTTTTCATATCATCAATCATTTCCTGGTGCCAGAGTTCCAAAGACCGCATTGTCTCATCCCATTGTGCTCGCCTTAATCCCAATAGACAGACGGGGACCCCAATGATGGTGAATCCAAAAACGAGATCCGAAAATTTTAACCCGGAAAACCCTAGAAATTGAAAATCAAATACATTAGAATATATAACAATAACATATACAGAAAGATAGAGGAGGCAATCGCTTACCAGATCCGGAACCCTTGCTCAAGCCTTGTCCATACCCATGCTGAAAACCTTGTTCAAACCCTTCCCGGAAGGCTTGTTGGGACTCGGTTAGACCCCGTGAAAAAAGGAGTCTGGAAAGGGAGGATGTGGTGGGGTGGTTGAAAATGGACGAGCTGGGAGAAGACTGAAGCGTCGAAGGCTTAGTTTGCGCAGAAATGCCATTACAGATTGATTGCTGGAGAATGGCTGCCTTGTGGGTTGTTGATGGAGCACAACAGACTAACAGAGTGACGAAACCCTAACTCTGTAGAAGACGAGCTGCCTTGTGGGTTTGATGGAGCACAGCAAGTGAAGAAACCCGAAAAGAGGAAAGGAATGTAATGAAATTGTTTACAACGACACCGTATTTGAATATATAATGGAATTGCTTCATATAATATCCTCTTCAGTCATTGGAGTATCGAGCAATCCTAATACTCTTACGAATAATTTTGCTCATGTGGTCTATTAGAGAATGACAACTGAGTAACTAATTTAAAATTTAAAACTAACATAACAGATTATGCACACATCCATGTGTGTATGTAAATATGTATGTATATATTACAAATTCGATCTTCTTGACAGCCAAGCCAATCAGCTGTTGCGGAATTAAATAGAAAACATAAGAAGAACTCACAAATTTTACTTAATTCACTTCAAATCAAGGTTATGTCTAAGGGTTACAGGAATTTTTACCATAATGATAAAAAAATTATAGCGGATAGATAGAGTTCAGAATAAATAAATACTCTCGCTCTCGGGCAACTTAACAAGTGCAAAAATTACCAAAATGCCCTTTAAAAAACTTGGATATAACAATGATCTGCATAACATCTCATGAAACCATTACTGCACATGAATCCATCAAACTTCTTATACCACTGTTTGGGATCTATTTCAAACCATACAAGCTAATTTTTAGCTTGCATACCAAACCCTGCTTTTTTGGCACTGTGAATCCCTATGATTGTCTCATATAGATATCTTCCTCCAAATCACCATGGAGAAAGACAGTCTTCACGTTTAACTGCTCTAGATGCACATTTTTTGCAGCCACAATTCCAAGCACCAATCTGATTATAGTCAACTTCACAACCGGGAAGAAAATCTCAGTGTAGTCAACACCATGCTTTTGCTGAAATCCCTTCATAACCAATCTGGATTTGTAACGCTTACTGCCATCATGTTCTTCCTTGATTTTGTAAACCGACTTGTTATGTAAAGCCTTCTTGCCCTTTGGTAGTTCAGTTAACTCCCACGTCTGATTTGACATAAGTGAGTCTATCTCATCCTGCATAGCTAATTCCAACTTAGTTGAATCACGAACCTGCAATGCTTCATCATAACTCTTTGGTTCACCACCATCAGATAACAACAAATAGTGTAAAGAAGGCGAGAAACGCTGTGTAAGTTTGGAGACTCTAGATGACCATCTCAATGGAATAGTAGGTGTACCTTGTTCCATCTGTGGAACTTTATTTTTTGGATTTTTCTGAACTCTCCTATGCACATCTTACTCGGAGATTTCCTCCAATGCAACAAACTCATCCTTTTCAGCATGAGCACATGCATTAGTAGAATCTGATGTTAACATATCCTTATACATTACTTTCTCATTGAACACGACATCTCTGTTTCTAATTATCTTCCGGTTTTGATCATACCAAAACCGATAACCAAACTCATTAGTGCCATACCCAATAAAAGTACATTTTTTTTTACTTTGGATCAAGCTTGCTTCTAGCATCAGAACTTATATGCACATATGAAATACAACTAAACACTTTGAGATGTAAAAAATTTACCTCTTTTTCGCTCCAAGCCTCCTATAGTAAGCCTCCATCCGAAGAAACAGAAGGTCCCCGATTGATCAAGTATGCTGCAGTGTTAACTATATCAGCCCAAAACATCTTAGGCAATCCAACATGTACCCTCATACTCTGAGCATGCTCATTCAAGGTTCTGTTCATGCGTTCTGCAACCCCATTCTGTTGTGGGGTTTTAAGAATAGTATATTCCATTCTGATCCCATTAATAGCACAGAACTCTTTGAAGCCTCTGTCTTCATACTCACCGCCATTATCAGGCTTCAAACACTTCATCTTTAAGCCAGTCTCATTCTCCACCATGGCCTTAAAATTTTTGAAAGTATTATAAACTTCAAATTTATTTTTCAAAAAATAAATCCATACCTTTCTCGTAGAATCATCGATAAAGGTAACATAATATAATGAGCCGTCAAGAGATGAAACTAGAGAAGGCCCCCACACGTCTGTATGAACCAACTCTAATTTCTCTGTCTTATGTGTCCTGTTAGCCTTTGAAAAACTAACCTTCTTCTATTTCTCAAAGATACAATCCTCACACAAACCTATTTCAGCTGATTTAATACCCGACAGTTTTACTTTCGACAGAAGTACCTTCATCCCCTTCTCACTCATATGACCCAGCCTACAATGCCACATGTTTGAATCTACGCTAACATCAGGAACAACAATGGCATTCTTGGTGTTTGTTGCATGTATAGAGTACCTGCCTTGCTTGCACGAGCTACGACTAGTGGTGATTTTTCATAAACCACCTACGAAGTTAACAGTGTGCCCATCATCATCAAGTTATCCCACAGAGATCAAATTTCTCTTCAAACCAGGAACATGCCTCAAATTCTGAATCTTATACACAACCCATTAGGTTGCCTGATCTGAACATCACATTTACCCACAATATTCAAAGACTCATCATTAGCCAAATAGAACTTTCCAAAATCACCACTAATATAGTTCTCTACGATTTCACGATGCGGGGTAGAATGAAAGGATGCACCTGAGTCTAAAACCCAAGACTCAATTGGATTATCTACACTCAAAATCAAAGCATCAACAACCTCTTCTCTGACTGCGTTTACAAATTCTTGTTTTCCTTCGCTCTACTTTTTTGGTGCTCAACACTCAAACCTTAAATGCCCCTTCTTTCCATAGTTCCAGCAGGTTATAGTTTTTGACTTGCTTTTGTGTTTGGATTTACATTTACTGCGATCTGAGTCTGATCTTTAAGAATTTCTTCTTTTGCCCTCGGTATTGAAAGTAGATCTAGATGATTCTCCTATTTCCCTTCTGCGAATATCTTCACTGAGAATCAAGTCCCGAACATCATATAACTTCAATCTTCTTTTCCCTGAAGAACTACTCACTGCTGTAACAGTACCGTTCAAGCTTTCTGGTAAAGAGGATAAGAGAAGCAACGCCTTAACAACATCATCAAACTCGATATTTACAGAGCTTAACTAAGTCGTAACAATGTTAAACTCGTTTAGATAGTCAGTCATTGAAGCGCCTTCTGACATTCTTAGGTTCAATAATCGCCTTATCAAATATACCTTGTTAGATGCAGTTGGTTTCTCATACATATTTGAAAGGACAGTCATCAAACCTGCTATTGTCGTCTTCTTTGCGATGTTGAAGGCAACGTTACGAGACAGTATCAATCGAATGATCCATAGTTCTTACCGATCAAGAAGGGCCCAATCATCATCCTTCATCTCTTCTGGTTTCTCTCCGGAAAGAGGCTGATACAACTTCTTCTAATACAGATAATCCTCAATTTGCATCTACCAGAACCCGAAAGCTGTACCATTGAACTTGTCGATCTTGATCTTTCCTTCTTTTGTACCCATTGCTCCCACTCAAACCTAATGGCTCTGATACCAGTTGTCGCAAAATTAAACAGAAAACACAAGAACGCAAAGATTTTACTTGGTTCACCTAAAATCAGGGCTACGTCCAAGGGTTGTATGGATTTTCACTATGATGATAAAAAAATCGTAGCGGATACAGAGAGTTCAAAATGAAAAAATGCCCTCGCACTAGGACAATATAACAAGTGCGAAAATTATCAAAATACTCTCCAAAAAAATCGGGTTAGGGCAAGCCCCCGAACCACCACCTTCGAACAGGGGGGCTCTGCCCTCTGCAACCCCCCACCAACTTACTGTGAAGTTGGGGCTTGGTGTACAGTATATATCAGGCTCCACACTACCCAGCATCACCTTCACCATCCGTAGCCTCCGCTACCGCCTCCTCTTTCTCTTTTCCACGATCCACATCTGACAACAACAATAAATTAAAGAGGGTGTGAAGAATAGTTTTAGGAAAGCCACAGTTATTCAACACGAAGTGATGAGAACAACGAAGAGGAATTTGTTTCACCTAAGCCATAACCATTTGACTCTCCTCCAATTCTCTCTTTCGCTACCATGACCGATTGCATCCATTTTTTTTTTTTCTTTCTAGCTTTGATTGTTTATCTCATTGAGTTTGTATTGAAATCTATGAAGTACGAATACGGATACAGAATACAAGTACATGGTAATATGGCAAATCTCAAAAAATAAGATACAATGTAGGCCTAGTGGATACGAAAAATAATACTATAATCAAAGCAATAATATATTTTAATTGTATTGAATTCCAAAAAAATAATAAAAGTAATACTATAATCAAAACAATAATATAATTTAAATTAAAAAAATTGATTAAAAAATAGAACTTAATAATTCATTGGGTTAATTGCATTAAACCCCATGAAGTTACTTATATCCCTAAATAAAAACCCCTAACTATCATTTTGACACTTAAGACCTTAAATAAAACTTAATCATTGGGTTAATTAATGCATTAAACCACATGAAGTTACTTCTATCCCTTAAAAAATCCTCTAACTATCATTTTGACACTTAAGACCTTGAATCATCTTGTTTGTTGCAAAAAAAAAAAAAAAAACAAACACCAAATCATCGTTAAGTAACCATTGGGAATCTAACAGAAATTAAGGTATGTCTGTCATGCGAGAAGAAGAACAATAATTATTTTAAGAGGAAAATGAAAGAAGAATGACATGACTTTGAAAAGAACTAGAATTAAAGCGTGTTTGAAGCAGAGAAATTTTACTTTTGTAAGGAAATTAAAGATTTTTTTTTAAAAAAAAAAAAAAGAAAAAGAAAGAGGAAAGTACTAAAAAAAAAAATAGTTTTAGGGGGCATTATAAACAAATTTTCATATATATATATATATATATATATATATTACAAAAATCACCATATATAATATAGTAGGGTAGGAGGGCATGTCCTCTCTGGACATACACTGACTTCACCCCTGGAATACACATGAATATATCACAATACACCATGTAAAATATCTATTTTGTTGGTCAACAAACTATTTGCAATGGATATATATGCATACCATAGACGTATGTATTATATGGGGGTAAGTGCAGAAAATACCCCTCTAATTTCAAAAAGTTGCAAATAAGGGCTTCTGACCAACAAATTTGGCATGTGCCGTGCATGTGAGCAAAAGTGGCC